ATATGGTTGTCTAATTATCTAACAAATGTATGATATTTCAAATAAAGTTTTAATCTTGAGGATAAACCACAGGAATTCATGATGACAACCCTTTGGTTTAGATTAAACTACAAAACTCGTTTAGAGCTGATGAAGTGTAATGGTATACTCTAAGGCAGTGCATCTTAATTTTTAATGTGCATACATATCACACCTGGCAATCTTGTTAAAGTACAAATTATGATTCAGAAAGTCTATCGGGGACCGATTCCTGCATTCTAACAAGATCCCAGGTGATGCTTCTACTGTGGCCATGGACCACCCTTACAGAAGCAGGGATCAAAGGGACACCACTGGCCAGAGCTTGGCAAGGTCCGCACCAAATGTTATTTTAACTAGGTACCAAGATCCGAACTTTTACTCTGAAAGAGCAGAGATTTGCTTTTGTCAATGCCCTGAGAGACAAGTGAGTCACACTAACTAAAAGGTACCTGAAGGACAACACATTCATTTTAGAGTGACTCATAAGGGTACACAGACTTGAGTATGTGTCCCTCACTGTGGGCACCTCCAACCTCAAACTAATTCTCCTTTGATAACATGCAAAAGAATGCCAAAAATAATAATAAAATAAAGTAAAACAAACAAAAGACCTGCAAAGCTTAACGACTAAGTTGGCCCAGTCTGTGGCTATGCCATCAAGCAGTGCTACTCTGAGACTAGCCGACTAACATCATTAGGTGACATTTTCATAAGCTATCTCTACTTTCGACAATCAGGAAAGCCAACCCTGGAGAAATAAACAACTGATGAAAAACACAATGGAAGTGAAATCTAAAAACAAATACACAGAATTTTGGTTTTTCCTATTTGTTTTGTTTTTATGGGTAACAATCTAATGATCAGCCACCAAAGGAAACAGTAACTCCATTGAGGGGCAGTGGTCTGTTTCCATGACCACAGTATTTCCAGGACCCAGAATTTCTGACCCACAATAGGCATCCAATAAATATTTATGGAGTGAATGAACAAATGAGTAGGAGAGTAGGAGTTAATTTCTTTGGTATTTACATTTTAGTACCAAGATTCCAGGGAGCTATTCTTAATGACTTCAACATGAGTTAGGACTGGTTGGCTGTAAATATTATCTAATTTCCTTAAGACAACCTCCATGTCTCTAGCCTATAACTTACTCAAACAGTAAGAGTTACAAACTACTCTTGCATTCCTACACAGAACTTCCTTTTCTCTGAAGACAGAGGGCAGGGCCTACACTAAACCACAAGAGGAGAAACTGCTACATGCTGACAGTTTCTTTTGACAGAATAGAACTGAAAGGATTTTTATTCTTCTTTCTAGATTTTCAAAGACATGATTTCCTAACATGAAACCAATTTCATAAGAGACTTTTAAACAGTAAGAAACAAAAACAAAGATTAAAAGGTATGCCAAGAGTTCTTGAAAAGATTACCATATGACCTAGCAATTCATAAGTATATACAAAAAGAATTAAAAACATGTCCATATAAAAACTTGTACGTGAATGTCCTAACAGTACTATTCATAACAGTCAAAAAGTGAAATATCTACCAACTGGTAAATGGGTAAAAAAATGTGGTCTATCCATATTACATGTATTATTTAGTCATAAAAAGGATTAAAGTACTGATACATGCTACCTACCACACGTATGAACCTCGAAACTACTATGCTAAGCCAAAGACGCCTGTCACAGGATCCACATATTGTATGGTTCTGCTTATATGAAATGTCAAGACTGAGCAAATCCAAACAGAGACAGAAAGCAGTTTAGATATTGCCAGAGGCTGAGGGAGGGACAGCTAACAGGTATGGAATTTCTGGGGTGATAAAAATGTTCTGGAATTAGAGGTAATAATTACACAATTTTGCTCTACTAAAAAGTGCTGAATAGTACACTGAAGGGTATAAATGTTATGCTATGCAAATTACATCTCAATTTAAAAAAACATAATCCAAAAGGAAACAAAATCAGTAAGTAAAAAAAAAAAAAAATGCACAAAGGAGGGCATCCCTTCCTCTCTGTTCTCATCCTTCCCCCATGCAAAATCTTTGCTACAAAGCCACATATTTTATGTAGTTACTCTGAAAATATTGGAACCCTAAAAATATCCTTATCACCCAACAAAACCAGCTGCTTATTTTGATAACATTTTTGTAATGCAGACCTTCCTTTAAATACAAGTTGACAGAGGACTTTTTCTACAAACCCAAACATGAACAATCCACTGAAATTAGCTTTGAGAAAAGACAATATTGTAACTGTCCCAAAACAAAGGAGAATTACATTCTTATTCAGTCTAGTCAAAAAGCAGTGTCACCAGGAACTAAGCAGTGATGGATGTTCCCCCAGTGTTTTCTGTCTCAGACACCAGACAATAGGCCTCAAAAACAAAATAAAATCTCATACTAAACTACACTAAGTTATAGGAAAGCATGTCCTGTATTTACATTATTGGATATCAAATTTAAAAGAATATATGTTTGTGGGCCTCCTCGGTGGCGCAGCGGTTGAGCGCTGGGTTGCGAAGCTGCCCGCGGCCTCTGCAGCACCGGTTCGATCCCCGGCTGCTCCCAGGCCACCGGAGGAGGGTCCCACATGGCATGCAGACCTCTCCTGCTGCCCGCTGCTCCCCTCAGCAGTGTACTTCGTCAAACTGCCTGTTCTGCTCCCTGCTCTGGCTCTGGTGAATCCTCTCACCCTCCCGTGCTTCTGACTGTACCCAGTGCTTGTATAAATGAATAAATAAATCTTTAAAAAAAATAAATAAAGGGGCCTCCCCGGTGGCGCAGCGGTTGAGAGCTGGGTTGCGAAGCTGCCCGCGGCCTCTGCGGCGCCGGTTCGATCCCCGGCTGCTCCCCGGCCACCAGAGGAGGGTCCCGCATGGCGTGCAGACCTCTCTCCTGCCGCCCACTGCTCCCCTCAGCAGTGTACTTCGGTCCCTCTGCCTGCTCTGCTCCCTGCCCTGGCTCTGGTGAATTCTCTCACCCTCCCGTGCTTCTGACTGTACCCAGTGCATGAATAAACAAAACAAACAAACAAATAAATAAAATAAAACATGCCTCTATTAAAAAAAAAATTAAAAATAAATAAATAAATAAAGTAACGGAAGATTTAAAAAATATATATATATGTTTGAAAATTGAATTCTAAACTATTCAAGGTGGAATCACACTAAAAGTTTTTTTTTTTTTAAACACATTTTTTTTTTTTAATTTATAGAGGCATGTTTTTATTTATTTATTTATTTGTTTGTTTGTTTGTTTTGTTTATACATGCACTGGGTACAGTCAGAAGCGCAGGAGGGCGAGAGAATTCACCAGAGCCAGAGCGGGGAGCAGAGCAGGCAGAAGGACTGAAGTGCACTGCTGAGGGGAGCAGCGGGCGGCAGGAGAGGTCTGCGTGCCATGTGGGACCCTCCTCCGGTGGCCGGGGAGCAGCCGGGGATCGAACCGCTGCGCTGCAGAGGTCGCCGGCAGCTTCGCAACCCAGCGCTCAACCGCTGCGCCACCGGGGAGGCCCACACTAAATGTTTTTTAAAACATTGAATATCACACAAGAAATTAAAAAAAGAAAGAAATTAGTAAGTGCTATGCCCAGGTGCTAACTACATTCAACTAGTGTCAACTCTACTGCTTCTTAATTGGTGGTGTAGTTAAATAATATTCATGCTCATATATAAGATATCTTAACTGGCTGAAACATTAGTCACATAAGAAGAAATATTTTAATCTCTTAGTAAGCAATGTCCTAGATTTAGAACCTCTACTTCAAAATAGAAGGAATAATGAAGATATTTTCAAATGGAAACAAAGATGAGTACATTGGGAGGCCTCGAAAAGCATTCAGTGACTAGATCAGAATCATATCTACATTTGCTCGCAGCTTTACTACTAAACTACAAATGATGTCTGCCCTACACTAGTTTTACACGGATTTTAAAATACATAAAACCTAAAGCATATTTAGTACCCATAATAAGAATATCCAAAGGGACTGTTACCACAGCAGTATTCTATCACTTATACATTTCAGATTCTAAGCAAGATGGGAATAACTAGGATGACACTATAGATTAATATCAAGTGTGATGTAGGGAAATCCCATTCACTAAACGATAAATAGAATCCCACTCACTCAAAAAGCATCTATGAAGCAACTATGTTAATAGTAGCTTGAGGAGTACCTGTCCAATCAAACACTGGCAGTAGGTTGTATTCTGTATATGTTTGGGGTGTAGAGTAACCATGTAATTTTCCTATATCTTTGATACCTTTGCTCCCATGGAACGGATAACCGCTTCTCCTTTGAGCAAGTTTCTCTTCAAACTTGTTTTTCCATTTCCCCATCCCTTTTGCCCTCACCAACACAGTATCACCTCAAATTCTGGAATGGGGTTACACTGAATGTTTTAATGTATTTAAGATGACATGCTACATTATTAAGTACTCACTTTAGGCTTTAATTCCATTCATTTAGTGTTTCCTGCTTCTCAAGCCCACCCTCCCCCTTAGTTTTCCCCTTCCAGTATCCATTTTGCTCCCACCTTTAGCTCTCTGCAGATCACTGCCCCGCAATTTCCTCAAAACCCATCTCCATGCCCACTTCAAGTTTTCTCAGAGACGCTCCGCCTCCCCCAACCTCAGTCAGTCTTCAGTGCCCTCCGTGATGGCCCGGGATTTCATTCTGGCCCTTCACCCTCCTCAACCCCAGACACGCCGACGTCCCCGCCACGGCCCGGCACAGGCGGGGAACGCCCCACACACTCTTCCCCAAACTCGTCTCTTCCTCTTAGGCCCCCTAGCACCCACCTCCCCCACTCCAGTCCCTACTAGGTCTCCTTGCTCCTTCAAAGCCTCTTCCCCCTCTCTCGGGTTTTCCAGCACTCCCAGCCCCCGGAGCCCTCTCCGCCGCCGCAGGTCGCCCGACACCCCGCGTCCTCCCGGGGGCCCGGGGCGCCCCCCCGGAGCTGCCCTCCGACCTGCCTCCGCGCCTCCTGCAGCCCCTGCAGCCTCTGGCCCAACTCTCTCCGGTAACTCTGAGCCGCCTCCACGTTCTCGCGGGCCTCCTGCAACATCAGCTCGGGCTCCAACTCCATCGCCGCCTCCTCGGGCCGCGCTGCCAGCGGCTGCGGGCGCGGCTCCCGACTGTCCCCGGCGCCGCCGAGCGGCCCCCGGCGGCCTCGCGCTGGCGGAAGCCCCGCCCCGCCCCGCCCCAAGCCGCCTTGATTGACAGTTGGCGCCGGCGCCGCACGGCCCACGTCCGCGGCCCGGCCCCGCCCCGCCCGCGCCGCCCGCCCCGCCCGCGCCGCAGCACCCCCGCCCCTCCCGCGCCGCCCGCCCCGCCCGCGCCGCCCGCCCCGCCCGCGCCGCAGCACCCCCGCCCCTCCCGCGCCGCCCGCCCCGCCCGCGCCGCAGCACCCCGGCGCTGCGCCCTGCTCTCGCGCGGCCCCGGGCCTGCGGTGCTTTCCGCGGATAAACGTAGAGGCGAGGAAACATACGTGCATTCTTGCAAGTGCTTCCACCTCTAGTCTCATTCCGGCCTCACGATGAATCCTCCTTTTATCGCCATTTCACGGAGGAGAAAGCTGAGGGGCACGGGGGAGGGGGGGGAAAGCAACTTTCTCAAACCGTTAGGATTTCAATGAAATGAATTCATAAATCGTCCTTGTCCTACTTCCTTAGAAACCGACCATCGCAGCAGTCTATGCTATTTTAGGACGTTATGAAGCCGGCACCACTTCAATGGGATCTTTAAATTCCAACGCCCCGAAGCTCCTAGTCTAATGGCTTAAGACTGAGGACTAAGCGATGCCCAGCACCAGCGGCTGTACAGCAATCCTGGCAGCAATCTTGTACAGCAAGAAGGGTGTTAGCAAACTTTCCATCGGGCCCAAGTCACAAAAATTGGGAGCTTGGCGGCCCCTAAGATCTCTGTTGACAACATAGTAAGTACATGGGTGTAACCGTGTGCAAAGAGAACATTTTGTACACAAATTTGGATTACGTGTAATTTTCACGTGCCACAAGATTTTCTTTGCATCTTTTTTCAACTATTTATAAAAGTAAAAACCATGCGTGGTGCAGAAGCCGTACAAGACGAAGAAGTAGTGGGTCAGACTTGGCCCTGGACTCTTGCTGACCCCTGGTCAAAGGTATTTATGTTGACTCAGCTGGGCAACAGAGGCAATGCGATTTAGTCCCGGTTATAGAATGAACCTATAGAGGCTAGATCTCAGTTTTCCTGGGCCAGACTAAACCTCTTTCTACCAAATTGTTTTGTGCTAAGTAAATTACACTTGTAACTAGAAAGTTTAAATAGGAGAAACCTTCTAGATAAAACGGGACATTAACTACCCTGAAGGTAAGGTAGCTGTATACTTGTGGGTACACAATAAACGTCAGTTCAATTAATCAAGGCATTATTAGAGGTACAAAAAGAACTGAGGAAAGATACCCTAGGACAAAACTAGCTGGGAGAGGGGATAAGGAATATAAGTGGATTGTGGAGAGTAGGGACTAGGGAGTTAAGGTTAAGAAACTTTTGCTTTAATGAGTAAACATCAAAGATTTTTGCATGTGCAGTAAGTGCCATTTGCAAAACAATGTTAAACGATAGAGAGGTAGGATTTGGGGGTCTATCATAAAATAAGGTAGTGGTTGTTGGCATGTGGTAAGTTCTCAGTAAATATTTGTTCAGTTAAATGAATATAAATAGGATCAGAAGGTGAATAAGGGAAAAACAGAAACCTTAAAGCTAAGAGAATTGGATCCTGTCCCTGAGGGCTTTACTATGTGAAAGTAAAAAAAAAAAAATTTAAAGAAAAATTTCCCTATGTGACACTACGTGAAAGTGAAAAAAAAAATTTTTAAAGAAAAATTTCCCTAAAGGCAATACACTACTCTTAGTCTCTTTCAACTTTATTTCCTTGACCTACAATACTAATAGCTGGGAGGCAGGAAATGTCTATCCACCAAACAAAAAAATAACCTAAAGAAAATATTGTGAAACTACCCCCCTCCTAGGCTGGAAATTTTGGGATGCATTGTTTTTTTTTTTTTGTTTTTTTTAAAGATTTTATTTTATTTATTTATACAAGCACTGGGTACAGTCAGAAGCACGGGAGGGTGAGAGAATTCACCAGAGCCAGAGCTGGGAGCAGAGCAGGCAGAAGGACCGAAGTACACTGCTGAGGGGAGCAGCGAGCGGCAGGAGAGGTCTGCGAGCCATGTGGGACCCTCGCCCGGTGGCCGGGGAGCAGCCGGGGATCGAACTGGAGCTGCAGAGGCCGCGGGCAGCTTCGCAACCCAGGGCTCAACTGCTGAGCCACCGGGGAGGCCCAGGATGCATTGTTTTTAACTGTAGAGCACAAGTTCCTAAAGAGTAAACACTCAGGTTAATAACAGAGGAAGACTGATTAAAAGGTGGCAAAAACAGAAACCAGTGAGCCATCAGACAAGGTTTTACAGTTTTTATCTCTGTGGCATCACTTTGGTTTAGAATCATCTCCAAGTGTACCCAGAGGTAAGTAGATTCACAGGGGCAGACTCCTCATGCTGAAGACTTGCAACAAACAAAACAACTAATTTATTTATTTAGGATAAAAGTATAATTGCTGAGAAAACTGAAACAGCTGGAAAATCAAGCTGTAACACGAGGGTTGTTTGGTAAACATGGATTCAGTTCAGAATATTTTGGTTATGTGGTCAGCAAAGGCTCTTCTCAGAAAGCTCATAGCATTATTGCACACATACTGAAAGTTTTTTGCTCTCTGACTACACTTTTTGCATACTTAATGCTACTAACACTTTTTTTTTTAGAATCAACTGGCTATAACTAAGTAAATCCTAGGACCTACTTTTGAATCACAAGGCATACAAATACTGTCCAGCAATCACAAATAATTAAAACAGAATTCTAATCTTGACATGTGTCTCTTTAAAACTTCTATTAATGCTACATTTTTTTTAAATTTGAAAACTCAAGTTTATAGAAATCTCACTTAGAGAAAAATTGCAAATACAGTGCAAAAATAATTATTCTTGGGGCCTCCCTGGTGGCGCAAAGGGTTAAGTCTCAGCACTGTGAGGCTGAGCCACTGCAGCATAGTTCCAGTTCCACAGGATGCAGTAGACCTCTCCTGTCTCATCTGCTGCTCCCCTCAACAGTGTATTTCAGTATATCTGCCTGTTCTGTTCACTCTGTCTCTGGTGAATCCTCTCACCACCCCACACCTCTGGTTTACACCCCAGTCCTTGTATGCATAAATAAATCTTTAAAAAATTTTTTTTCCTGAAAATTTTCTTTTTGCAAGTAAGGAACCAACATCCTGCAAGTACATTTTCCAAAATACCCACAATGCAACCATTAAAAACGGGAATTTAACATGATACTTTATTACCATCTAATCTTCCATTCAAGTTTAATCAGTTATCATATGATGCCCTTTATTATCCAGTGGATTCAGTCCAGAATCACATGTTGCATTGAATTGTCATATCTCTGACACTCTCTAACTCATAAGTCCAAAACTTAATATTCTCTTCTCCATTCCCATGTTTTAATTTCACATAAGTATTCTGGAGTTTCTCCCTCAATCCTGAAGGAGGAAGCTAGGAAATGGGTATAAGCAGTCAGTTAGGAACAGAGTGCCCCAACCCCTAAGTCCACTTATCAGCCTGACTGAAAAAAAGCACTCCATTGGAACCTGGAGGGCATCCTTCCTCCCTCCCCCCACCCTCCACCCTGCCCTAGGTCTGTTTATCAGCCTGATTGGAGAGTTCATAACACCAACACACACAATGTTGGAGCAACAGACCAAGGCGAGGTTGGGGAAGCTGGGCCAGGTAATGTGGGCAAACTCACTGGGCCAGGTAATGTGGACCAACTCAGTAGCCTAGGAGAACCCTGCAAAGTCAGTGGACCTTGGCAGCCTAGAAGATCCCTGAGGGCCCAGCCAATGAGCAAGAGACACAAAATGCAAACACACCCAACAACCAAACCCCCAGTGCTTGCCCATATAAGCACCTGCTTCTGACATACTCAGTGGCTACCCCCTTGGGACTCCACTCCACTCAGAGAGCTTTCCTGTTCCTCTTCCTACCTACCTATTAATAAATCTCTTGCTTTTCTGGGACTTTGGTCTTGACGTTGAATTCTTTCATCGCCAAAGACAAGAACTGAGAAAGAGCCTGCCTGGGGTACTCAGACTCTGGTCCTATTCCTAAAAGCCCCAATTCAGTCCCTTACTCCTTATTCAGTACAAACCTCCCCATACCTAACTTCAGTCTTGCCATCTGCCTCTCAGTCATTGCTCTCAATTCTGTACCAAAGCAAAGACTCAGTAAACAAAAAAATTTGGGCATTCCTGGTGGCACAGGGGTTAAAGATAGCGCTATTAAGCTATCACCAGTCACAGTGGCATGAGTTTGATCCCTGGCCAAGGAGTAAACCACATGGCGCAGCAGACCTTTCCTATCTTGCCCGCTGCTCCCCTCAGCAGTGTATTTCAGTAGATCTGCCTGTTCTGCTTCCCACTCTGTCTCTGGTGAATCCTCTCACCCCCCCCCACCGCCGCAACTCTGGCCTGTACCCCAGTTCTTGTATGCATAAATAAATAATAAATAAAAATCTTTTTAAAAATTTTAAAAATGTACACAGAAGCTTAGGAGCTGGGTGGGAAACCCACTGCTAGTTAGGAGAAGACAAAAAGGTCTCTTTGTTGGTATGCTGGGGAAGTAAGGGACAAGGCCAAAAATACATGTAATGTTAATACATTTTGTTTTTGTCAGTCTTCTTTGAACTTATCTTGTCTCCCGGTTTATTCAGAATGCTTCTAAATATTTTTGGTATGTTTTTACATAATTCAGTTATAACTCCAGTCTCCCTAGTTTTCGTGCCTGTGCGTTCCTTCCCGTTTGTATCCTTTTAGATATCTTCAGTTGCAAATTCCAGAAAACCCATTCAAATTGCCTTAAACAATAAAGAGGATTCATTGATCAATACAACTGAAAAAAACTTTAGGGTTAATTTGATTCAAAGGTCAGCCACTGGCTCCCTGGGTTAAGTCTTAGCATTATCACCACTATCGTCTAAGGCCTGACTTCTATCCCCAGCCAAGGAGCTAACACACATACTGCACAGCAGACCGCACCTCTGGCCTATACCCCAGGTCTTCTACAAAATAAATAAATATTAAA